TGTTTTTTTTTTTTTTTTTTTTTTTTTTTTTTTGGTCTGATAATGAATTTGTGAACTCTATCTTTGGTATATCTTTTATTAAACTGCACTGTTTTGTTTAGTCAAGATAAATAAGTAATTATGTATTTGAATAACTTGGCGTGTCTTGAGTGTTGTGATATGAAAAGCATTGTGGTCTTTCTACACTAATGAAGTACAAATAAAATTTTGTATTTATGAATGATGGTTGATTTGCCACATTTATTGTGTAATTATAAATTGAATATCTGACAATAATTCTTCATATACTCCACTTCTTAATCTTTTGATTGTTTTAGATAAGAAAAATACAGTGTCCTTCATTGTGGAAAAATAATTTGACATTTTCTCAAAAGGTTTAACAAAATATAGCAATTCCACTTCTGGGTATATTCCAAAAAAAATTGAAAACAGGAACAGAAACATACTTATACACCTGTGTTCATAACAGCATTATTCATAATTGGTGAAAGGTAGAAACATACCAGATATCCGTCAGTAGGTCAATGGATAAGCAAGGACGGTATGTCCAAACAGTGGGATAGGGAAGGAAGTGCTGATGCGTCTGCACAGTGACTGAACCTTGAGGACATTATGTTAAGTGAAGTCACCAAAGGACAAATAATGTATGATTCCACTTATATGAGGGACCTGGAGTAGTCAACTCATAAAGAGAAAAAATAGTGGTTGGGGGTGGGGGAAGGGTCATTGTTTAATTGGGACCTGGACTTAGTTTGGGAAGATGAAAGTCCTGGAGCTCGATGGTGGCGATGGTCGCACAGCAGTGTGAATGTGCCTAATGCCGCTGAGCTGTACACTTGAAAATGGTCAGCCCTGGCCAGTTCGCCCAGCGGTTAGAGCGTCAGACTGCGGACTGAAGGGTCTCGGTTCAGTTCCGGCCCGGGGCGCACACCTCGGCTGCAGGCTGGGGCCCCGGCCCTGGTCAGGGCTCCTGAGAGGCAGGCAGGCAGTGTGTCTCTCACACGGATCTCTCTCTCTCTTTCTCCCCCCGCCCTCTGAAAAGCAATGGAAACAATATCCTCAGGTGAGGATTAAAAAAGAAAAAACAGGTCAAATGTACAGGGTGTCCCAAAAAACTGTATGCACACTTTAATAGCTGAGAGCTCAGTTTTGAAAATGAAATGCATTTAATAAATACTGCCTTTATAATTATTCAAAGTGTGTATCATTTTGGGGGAGACAGCGTACATATGATGTCCTCAAGAAAACTTTCTTTTTAGTGTATGTGCCACCGAAGTGAGCACAAAGCTTTGAATGTATGTACCTTTTATCACCCAGCAGTCAGTCGCGGGCGGTGCCGGCCGTTCACCTGTTAGCCCAGCCCACGCCTGCCCTCTAGGCCCTGCTGTCTGCTCGCAGGGCTGGACTCTGCGGGACCTGCCAGACCCTACTGCTCTTCCAGTTGGGCCTGCTGCCTGGAGAAACTGGGAACTGGGGAGGGGAGAAAGAAGGGGTTTGCTTGCCCTGTTCCTTCCCGTCAGCCCCCTGTAGTGACACCCCATAGCTGGCTCTAGCTTCCAGCCTCCCGTGGGCCCCCCAGCTCCAGCCTCACTGGTCCCCACTGGACATAGCGGAGCACTGGGCTGGTCAGCGTGCTTCCTGCCACGCTCCTGGGCCATCCCGCCCCTGCTGGACAGCCCTCCTGTCTGTCCCCACCAGGTCCTCCTGTCTGTATCCGAGCACCTCTGTCCACACCCCTCCTCAGCAGCATAGGCCAGCCTGCAGGATCCTTCCTTAGCTCCTAAGTTTTGGCAACACCCCCTCTTTGCCCCAGCCCTGGGAATACCAGTTGCTTCCTTCCTTTGTGGATCACTGAGTTACCTTAGCATTTCCTCTTTGTCAGTTTAGCATTTTAACAACTCTGGCTAGTTCTCTGTATTAAATTCCTCTGTTTAATGATGCCTGTGTCTTTTCCTGACTGCTGGAGTAGTTGGTATCAGAAGGGGTCTCAGGAAACATCCTCAAAGATGAGTTTAAGAAAAAAGTGCCATGGACATTTGTGGCTAATTCAGTAATCTGTGGTCTGTTTTATATTTACAACTCAATCTTCGCTCCTGCATTTGTGCCTGTCAGCTGTAGTAGTAACAAAAGTACCTTTCTTGTTCAGTAGAGTAGTTTTGGGATTAAAGGTAGGACTTGCAGAAAGCCCTAGTGTGCTTTATATAGCTCTTGAGTTTGATGACATTTTTGTTTTCTGGTTTTCCGGTATACTTGTAGGTTTTTTATCTAATAAGTAGGATTTTGTGATTGTTTGGGGATGAGCATGTGACCAGTCTTTTTTTTTTTTTTTTTCAAGATTACCTCGAGATTTGAGTGGTTTTTTTATTAATGTATTAGTTTCATTTGTAGGAAACTTCACACCACTTAATTCTTACTGTGTAACAATCGCCCCTCACCCGACCTCACCACTGATGAGAACACGCAGCTGCTGCTTTCCTTCCGCATGGGCCCTCTTCACAGGGGGCCGGCGTATGGTCCTGTTGCTGTTCTTTCATCCTTCCTACTTCTGCTCAGTAGTTCTCACATGATCAAACTTAATCAGAAACTAGATGGTCAGGCCCTTGGATTGAGCTGAGCCTAAGCCACAGCCCCAGGTGAGAAGCAGAGGCTGCTGCACTTGGGGGCAGGTGGGCAGAGCCTCCAGCGGCCCTGTGACCACAGTTTGGCCAACAAACGGGAGTTCAACTTGACTAAGTGGTTTCTGGGAAAGGGTTTTATTCCTAAAAAGAGACACAAACAGCCTGGCGGGCGTGGCTCAGCGGTTGAGCATCGACCTAGGATCCAGGAGATCGGGGTTCGATTCCCGGTCAGGGCACAGGCCCGGGTTGCGAGATCCATGCCCCAGTAAGGGGCGTGCAGGAGGCAGCCCTCCGATGAGCCTCTCTCATCACCGATGTTTCTATCCCTCACTCTCTTTCTCTCTCTGAAATCCATTAAAAAAATAAAAAAGAGACACAAACAGCTACTTGGGGGCCTCAAATTAATCATCTTCGTGGCATGCTTGGCACCGCAGCAGCCACCTCAGAACTGGAAAGGGATTCTGCCTTTGGACAAAGTGTCAAGGCAGACCAGGAAAGTGGGAAGAATCACGTCCTTCCATTGTAGGACTGAGTTAACCTTGTCACCTCACTATGGGAAGTAACAGTTTACCCCACTTTGCTTGGGATTGCCCTTACTAACAGCTGAAAGTGTCCTCCCTGACGTCTCAGGTCCCGTGTGCCCTCAGCCTCCTTCCCAGTGTGTACACTCGCCGCACGCCTGTGGCTCCACCTGTGCCAATGTCTTCCACGTCTCTGGCCCAGCTCACTCATGAGCTCCAAGTACAGAGATCAAGCCAACCTACTGGCACCTCCACCTTCGTCTGTCACACACACCTCAAGAATCGACATTGATGGAAATGGATATTACCTTCTACTTACGAGCCTGCCCCCTCCAAACAGTCTTCCTGTTTTCCCTGTCTCTGTGAAAGGAACTGCCCTGTGCTAACTTCCCAATTCTGAAACTTGAAAAGTGATCCTAGACCTCTCCCTTTTCTGTGCTCTCTTTCCAATTGGCCTTCAAACCCCTTTGAACTGAATCTTCTCCCCAGCCTCCTGCATCGGTTGAAGCCTCACAGTTCTTCATTTGCATCCTCACAGCAGTTGATGACTTGTGTATATATTGTAATTCCCTCTGTCTAAAAAAATACTCTCAAGTTGACTGCGACTATTTATTAAATCCCCTTTTATCATCCAAACACATTCAGAAATCCTATCATCTCTGGAGCATTTTCCCCAAATCAAGAGATTCTCTCCCAGCTCTACCCAAGGTTCAGAGGTAGCTCCTCGAATGGCTTACGTGTTTTACTTCATCAAGTCTCAGGGAGATTCAGAACGTGTCCCAATCTGCAGATCTAGCAAGGTTAGAGCTAGGACAGAGCCCCAAGTCATCTTCTCTCACAGTCTTTGAACATAAATGTGACACCTAAAACTATAAACCCTCTAAAAGAACACATGGGGGGAATCTCTCTCTCAGCAAGGTCCTGAGCCCTCTCGGCCTCACGGAGCAGGTTGACAGGATTGTTAAGAGTGAATGACACTGAAAATGACGGTGGCTAATGCAGTCCCTGCTCTTTAAATATTGGCTCCTTTGTGACTTCTCCATCTTCCCCATGAGTAATCCCAAAACAACTTAGCGCTGCCTGTTTTAGAAAGCCAACAGAAGTATTAAGTGATCGTGCATAAGCTGAACACAGTACCAAGAATGCCGCTGGAACAGCCTGGGTGACCGTTCATTCAGTCTAGCATTTTCATTAGGCTTTTTATGTTTCACAGAAATGGAGGCAGCCCAACCATCTGCTCGGTGCTTATAAAACATATGGGTTGTTCTTAATCGGCTACGCAAATTACCCACACTCCAAGCTGTTAAAATTGAACACAAGCTTCAAATATCTGCTGCTCAACTTTATCAAAAATTCTGTGCTGCGGAGTTCAAAAGTCACACTCTCTGTTCCTTTAGTAGTATTCCTCAGGTCAGGATAGCTCACAGGAGAGCTGGATAAAGAAACTCATGTTCTAGCCCAGCAGGGCGTGGCTCAGCAGTTGAGCATCGACCTAGGATCCAGGAGATCACTGTTCAGTTCCTGGTCAGGGCACACGCAGGGTTGCAGGCTCATTCCCCAGCCAG